TGGTGGTGTTATCATTATAAATAATGCTGTAAGGTACATCCTCGTGCACAAATTTTCCTGCACTTGTCCAACTGTATCCTTAGGATAAGAATTCCTACAGGCGGAACTGCTGAGTCAGACTCCCTCGGGAGGACTGTCAACAGAGCATCAGGAGTAAAACCCCACCAGGGATGTTGAATTCTGTCATAGAAAAGTCCCTTTCTCCACACGGACTTTGCTTGGATTCCACTTGGGTGTCTACGACATTGCATAGTGGTTCAGGAAAACAGAGAATGTCCTTCCCACAAGCAACCAGCTCCTCCCGCCCCATCCTCCCCCCACATGTCTGTGTCATGAAGTGTAACTGGTACACAAAGAGGGCAGAATTTTACTGGGTCAATGTCTACCGAATTCCCTTGTGCCAGCAGGAAAGGCCACAGCAACACTCTAGGATGGCCCAGTGCTGGGTGCCCCATGGCAGGCAACGTAAGTGTGGACACGTGAAAGGTTTTCTTGTGGTAAAGGTTTTGTTCTTGTGTGGACAGGAGAATGCAAGGGACTCTTCCCAAAGAGACCAATGGCTAGAAGGGACCTGGGGAATCATCTAATCCCTTGCCTTGGAGATGGGGAAACTGAGGTGCAAAAGGACTCATGCGTAAACATTTCAATAATCTTTAAACGAACCCCCGAAGTGTCTGCACACAGTGATTCAGCCAATTGTTCAAGGGCAGAGTTTGAATATACCCCAAATTTTGGACACCTAGTACAATTCTTATCCTCTTCACGCCGTGTACAAAATTGGAAATGAGGATCGCTGAGGTCATATCCCAGCTCAGTCATGGCCAGAGTGTGTGTGCTGGAGCTGCTCCTACTGGCTCTCAAGGGCTGAGGGTGCGCATCTCTTCCCAGCTCAGTGTTCAGTGACGCCATGTTAGTAGCTTGCAGTCAGCCACGGTGGGAATATTTACACTACAGAAATCAGCAAATACCACAAAGCAGCGCTTTGTTTTCCCCCCTGAAGAGCCAGTTGTCAAATATTTATCAGCACATCACTGGTCACAATCTAAATGTGAAAACCATGAGCAGGTGAGCTTAGTTTCTTCACCTAACCCAAGGACCTCCTCTCTCTCCAAAGCATTATACTTCTCCACGGTCCATCATAATACTCACTCCCAAACCTACCATAGCCCCTTCCATATTAATCAACGAGCCAGCAAATGTTTGCCTGAATGCTTCCTGTGTGCCAGGCCCCCATCTGAGCACAAATCACAGTATCACTGTGAGACAGTTATTATTTCCATCTTCCAGTTGGGAAAACTGAGTCCCAGAAGACTTTAAGTGACTTTGTAACTATAGACTAAAGCCTGTCTTAGGTTAGTTTCCAGAAGTTGACCCTAAGACAAGAGTTCAAGTGCACATAGAAGGAGAACAGGAAAGTGAAACAGGGAAAGGAAGGCAGCCAATGAAGGGAGCAAGTTACCACTGTGAGCAATTGGGATTCGGTCCTGCTAGGCGGCCCTGAGAGACAGCATAGAACATGCCCCAAAGTTACCCCAACAGAGAAGTGAGGGAGCTGCAGTATTTACACACCTTCTTCCATCAGCCATTGGTTGAGGCCAAGGAAACATGGGAAGGATGCTCAGAGCATCTATTTCATTGCCGGATATCACACAGCTAGAAAATGGTAGACTTCCATTCAAACTCCAATACTCTCTTCATTACTCTTATAGAAATGAGCAGTTAATCAAACACCTACTGAGTGCCAACTATGGGTAAAGTGCCATGCTGGTGAAGTAAACCTACTTTGCCAAATCACTTTGGGTTGACATGTCCAAGGAAAGCACAAGGTATCCTTTTGCCAATTTGTTTCAACAGAAGGAATAGAAAAAGCCCTTCTAAGTCACTCTGCTCATCCCACGGGAATTAGCCAAGTGCCCTGCCTTAAGCCCTTCTTCTATGAGCGGCTTCCCTCTCTGGTCGGCCACAGCTGCCTTGGGCAGGCCTTCTGCAGCCTCAAGCTGTCATCCCAAGCAGCCACATCAACCTGTGATTACAGGCTCCAGAGTCTGCCATCCAAGGATGGTCAAAAATGACCACCCGGCTGCCCAGTCAGCCAAGTCTGGAGGCTGTGCCCTGCATGCCCTGTGCCTCCTGCCCCATCCCCTTCCCTCCACCTTCCCACAGCCATATCCTCCAGGGGAACCCACAATCAGGCCAAATACATGAAACCAGCAATCACGGGCCTGGGGGAACTCACCTCGCCTTAAGGACTTATTTAAAATTCTTCTGGAGAGGCAGGGAGGTGTTTAAATAGGACAGTGTGTTATTGGGGTAAACAACTGGACCATATTGTGAAGAGTGGTGGGAGGGGTACTCTAGTTTTATAAACCAGCTGTAGCAGCTCTCAGCAACCATGGCTTGACAACTGGGACCGGACGTTTTGTTCCATTCCAAGCACACTGCTGAGATCTGCCCAGTTGCTCATTCTGGGGGAGAGGACAAGCAGACGCGGGCAAGTCCCAGGACTGCTCTTGGATCACCCAGTCCCTCTCCCAGCCTTTCCGCAGGATTCTCTGGCAATCTGGGCCGCCTCTGCACTCCCACCTCCCAGTCAGTGAGGACACTCCCTGCCAAAGTATCCTAGAGAACTGAATGCAATTATCAGGCCAAGGTTCTTTTATGCTTTGGTGACAGGACCCTTTTCTGGTGAGCCCTGCAGTCCAGCCTTGGCACTCCAGCAGAGGTGCCAGGACGTGTGGTCCTGGGCACTTCTCCAGCCAACCCTCTCGGCCATTCCTAAGCAGCTCACGCACACAAGGCAGACATAAAGTTTGGCTCCAGGGCACCAGGAAATAGACCAAGAAATCAAAGCAAAACCAGCGGGTGACTGAGAGGTCCTAGGTAGGCCAGCGCATCCGAGAGTAAGGACGTGAACTGAGGGATTGAAAACAACATGTAGGATGGTCCACTACACTGGACCGATTCTTAAGAGAACACAAACTGGAGAGAGGGCTTGAACCCCCAAACAGAAGCCTTGCAGAGATGCAGAGAGGTGGACTCTGGAGCCCCAGGGGCAGAAGGGGAGCACCCTCAGGAAGGTGGGGATGCTGCTGGCTGCAGGTACAGCAGGCACAGGTCCTGCACACACTCTGGCCTACTCAGCCAGGTGTAGAGGGCACAGCCCCCACCTTCCCCTTGAGGAGGGCATAACTGGGGACCTCAGATTCCCTGGCCTCCTATCAGCCAGGTTCCCCAAAGTTGTCCCTCATCATTCTAACCAGATTTCACCAGCACCAAAATGAGGACAGAGGAGCATGGGACATGTCTAGGCTGCACCCCAAAGAATATCCTGTCTCCCCAATACTCCACCTCTGCTCTCTCATTCTCTGAGGGAGGAGCAAGACTCACCTCCCAGCCCCCCAGCACAGGGAATCCCAACCCGTACCAGCCCAGATTCCCAGGTGTCTGGGCAGGCTGCATGTTATGCCTCCATCTTCTTCTCCCAGAATAAGAACTACTCTGTTTCCAAAACTACCCCACCTTTCTGAGTTCAGCCATCTTTTGGGGTCCTCTTCTATCCACTGAGGCCCACTAGACAGCCAAAGCTTCCAGGCATCAGGCTGGCCTGTCTAGAGGAGAAAACACAGCTGGTGCCCACATCCAGGGTTTCTGATCCCAAATGGGCACCTCCCAAGCCAACTCCACACTTAGTCCCTGGGACACTGCATTAGGACACAAGTTTTAAAAAAAAGGAACTCTCCTCAAACAACCCAAGATACCTTAGCCATGAGAAGCTTCTTTAATTTTTCAGACCACCTGCAGAAAAAGTTCCAAGTAAATACGAATTGATAAGTAAAATAAATCCAACCCCAGATTCCTCATCCAGATGCTTTGGAAAGAAGGCCGCTGGCTCTGTCTTGCAGCTGTTTAAAAGAATCATTGTTTCTAATTCTTTCCTCCCATTGTACCAAGATCAACTGTGGCAGGAACCGAGTTCCGCTCCAGGATAAATTGTTATTTGTCAGCTCATTGGTTCAAACATTCATTCATTTCATGTAAGGTACTTACTATAAACCTCGCCAGCTCTAGACACGGCCTCTGTCCTCTGGAAGAACATGATTTAGGGACCTGGATTCCCGACACCTGGGAATAAAGCGCATCGCAGCGTTGAGAAGCCTCACACTCGGCTCTTGTCACTGAGGCACCGAGGTGCTGTGACACCAGACCCACAGAGCGCCCCAGGGTAACATGGAACCCTCCTCTCCCTGTCAGGCCATCGTGCCTCTCTGCTGTCCCCAGGGCTCTCCTAGCTTAGGAGCTGAGTGCAAAGCAGCCACTGGAAATGCAGAAGTGGCCGGGGTCCGCCCAAGGCACCTGCCTCTCTCCGGCGAGAGAGGATGCAAAGCCGAGGTCCCCAACGACCTCAGGCAGCAGCTCCGGAGGCGGGCCGGGAGACTGCAAAGGGGAAGTGCCCCGAGGACCGAGGGCCCCCACACACCCCGCGCCCTTCTGAAGGCAGAGGGAGCTGGAGCCCCTCCCCTCCAGGGAGGCGTCCTTTAGGCGGGTAAGAAGTAAACCGGATTGGGGTTGGCCACTCCCCAGGGCCCTCGGGATTTGCCATCCCTGCACCTGCTGCCCGGCCGCACCGCCAAGAAGTCCCAGGGACCCCGGGTATGGGGTGGGGGCGCCTTCCTGCCGCCGCCCTTGGGGGCGGAGGGGGAGAACGAGCTTGGAGCCACAACTTTCTCCGGCGGAAGGCGGGCGGGCTGGGGTTCCGCACCCACGCGGCCCCTGGGGAGTCCGCACGCCCGGGAACCCCGTGAGGCTGGGGGAGAAGGCAGGAGACCAGGGGCAGGCGAGGACCGAGGGGCTGACCTGGACGGGAGAAGAGACACTGCGAGAAAACTTTCGGCGAGGCAGGAGCGAGGCAGGCGACAGAGGACCGCCCGGTACCCGGCACCTTGCGCCCCGCATCGCGCGCCCGGTACCCCGCGCCCAGCACCCCGCGCCCAGCGCCTTGCCTGCGTCCAGAGCCGGCTGCATCTCGCTCGCGCCGCGCGGACCGTGGAGTTGCAAAGTGGGGGTGCCGCGGCCGGGGGCTGCTCCAGCCGGCGCCTGGGTCAGCGATCGGCGGGCCGGGCTCAAATCCAGCCCAGCTGGGAGGCGGCGGCCGCGCGATTGGGGGTCGGGCGCCCCGCCCTCCTCGCTCCCTCTCCGCCCCTCCTCGCCCTCTCGCCCGCCCCCCCTGCCTTTATCTGCCCTATGCGATCTGACCGTCCTCCCTCCCCCTCTTTCTCTAGCTCTCCATCTCTCCCCACCCCGCTTCCACTCGCCTTTCTTCCTCCCCTCCTCTCCCGCCCTCCCTCCCCTTCTCCCCTCCCCCTTGCGGGGCGGAGCTTCTCCCCTCCCTCCCAGACAATGCTTTGGCTGCGCGTCCCCTCCTTCCCTGCCTGCGAGTCGGGGCTCCGGCTGCCAGCGCCTCTTCCGGGCTGGGGGGGCGGGGAGGGGGTAGGAGTGCGGGGGTGGGGAGGATGAGCTGGATCCCCTCACCCCATTCGCCGCTGCCCTTTCCAAGAGGGATGGAGTCTTGGCCCAAGCCCCTCGGCTCGCCCCGTGCTGTGACAGCCACTCCAAGGGAACAGTCACGCTGCCCCAAGGAGCCCACTTTGGGCACCCCGGATTCCCCAGGCAGAGGATGTAGGATTTTTTTTCTAACGCTCGGGCTTATTCCAAAAACAGTTTGAGCTGAGCAGGGGCTAAGCGAGGCCCCTTCGACTTCGCGGGCTGGCAGACGTGACAGCAATGTGAAGGAGGCCAAGTTTCTTTGTCCACCTCTCACCTCCCCCTCTTATCCATCCCTGGACCTCCAGGGGCTCTCAGTGCACAGGAAACCCTAGAGCACCCCAGCTGCGGAGCTCCTTATCTGTTCCCTCCTTCTTATCAGAATTCTCCCCTCGCATTCATACTCCAGCTCTGCAGAGTCAGTCTCCACGCCAAGAGGAAAGGGGCCTAACCGTTAATGGGTAGCCAACCCCCCGGGTACAGCCGGATCAGCTCATCCCTCCTGGAAGCCAAACATTCTTTATAAATTCATTGTTTGGATGTTGGAATGTGTCTCCCTTAGAAACAATGTTACAAATGGTGATCTGCTTCCCAGGGCAGCCACAAACGTCTTTTGAACCCAAAATGCAGCTGCAGGGTGGTGCTGAAAACTGTGTCAGCTGCCCCAGAACAAGTAGACCACTGATCAGCTTTTTCTATAGAAAAAAAATTATCTTCTGGTTCTTTCCCCTTGAACTATAAACACAAAGCTCTCCCGTTAATTCCCCCTCACGCACACACCCCAACCCCTATCTCCCTCACCTCTCCCCGCAGCCACTACTCTGTATTAGTCAAGCTTCTTTCCTTTGCAGGTAATGGAACACCCTCCGGGGAGTGTGTTATGAGGACAAGGGGGTTTCTCTATAACCTCAGGGTCAGAACTGCAGGGAGAGCTCAGTTAGAGGCAAATCCAGAGCCTGGAGGGCTTCCAGGAACCCAGGAGGGGCCCGCTCTTCTCTCTCATCATAGACTGGGCTTCCCTGCATCCCAGACACATGACAAAGGGTGGCCATGGCTTCCATCACTGGGGCTTGGAGCTTCCCTGTTGAAGAAAGCAGCCAGGTAGAGCTAAAATCCCTTAGTCTCTACTCCAGTCTCCCAGGAGAGCCGCTCATTGGCCCAGCTTGGGTCAAGTGACCATCCTATGACCAATCAACTGGGGCTAGAGGCAGGCTTACATTGTCCAAATTAGGCTACCAGGAACCCTGACCTATTTAAAACAAAATCTGTTCCTCTTCACTTAACATTCTCCATCTTAGTGAATAAATTGATTGACTGATTAGTTCAAAACACCAGAAAACATCTTTCTTTTCATCAATTTGTCCATACAGAAAGCACAGGAGGAAAAAGAATAGGTCTTTTTCCTTCAAGGCAGTGTAGGGACAATAATTCTGTATCAGGGATAATATTTGCAAATATTAAACCGATACATTAAAGCCCACCCTTAAACCATATTTTCTTGCAGCCTTCCACCCCCAGGGACTGAACCCAGAGGCACATGGCCGCAGGGAAGCAGGAGATAAGCATTGCCTAGAACTATCTACAGTGCAAGCCACAGGTGCAATTTAAAACTTTCTAGCTACATTAAAAATAGTAAAAAAAAGAGCCAGCTCTGATGACCTACCAGTTAAAGTTCGGCACGCTTCTCTTTGGCGGCCTGGGCTCAGTTCCCAGGCGCAGAACCACACTACTCATCTGTCAGTAGCCATGCTTTGGCAGCAGCTCACATAGAACTAGAAGGACTTACAACTAAAATATAGAACTGTGTGCTGGGGCTTTGGGGAGGAAAAAAAACCAGAGAGGAAGATTGGCAACAGATGTCAGCTCAGAGCAAATCTTTCCCAGCAAAAAAAAAAAAAAAAAAGAAAGTTAAAAAAATAGTAAAAAGAAACAACTGAAATTAATTTTAATGATATAGTTTATTTAAATCAAAATATTACCATTTCAATATGTAAACAATATAAAGAAGTTATTGACGGAGTATTTTACATTCTATTTTTCTGCTAAGGCTGTGTGTATTTACACTTCAGCACATCTCAATTTGGACATTAAATTTTCATCAAAAATATTTGATCTGTATTTAGATTTTATGAAATTTCTTCTTGAAAAAGTAAATTGACACACCCGAGTTGTTCTCAACATGCCTAAAAGTTTCCCACTAACTGAATTGAGTAGCAGTTTTTAAATTTATGTTTTAATTAATTAAGATTATATAAACTTAAAATTCAATTCCACTAGTCACGTTTCAAGTACTCAATAGCCACATGTGGCTAGTGGTTACCATATTGGGACAGCACAAGTTTCTGGAGCAAGGACGTCACTGATGAGCTCTGAGTCTCAAAGCTGACTTCCCATTTCTCTTTAGCAAAACAGTGGCAGGAATGTCAAGCATGGCCAGAGAGAATATGATTCTCCAAATTCCTTTATGTCGCTCTATAACGTCTCAAGGGGCAGGCTTTGCCACTAGATCAGAGTTCTACTGGGGAGAAGCAGGATATGCAGAGGAGAAGTGGGAGGCCCAAAGCCCACTCTTTGTTCCCAGTGGATTCTGGGAGGAGGGAGGAAGAAGCAAGGGACACAGACAGTGGGAAATGCCTCATCTGCCCTATTTGAACTTCTGCCAGAGTGAGGAGGTATGTTGATGGGTTAAGGGGAGTCTGGAGATAGAGTAGAGGAAATGGCCACACTGGCTGTCCACGTCCTTCCTCCTTGTTCCCAGGCACAGACATAGGGGAGGGGGCAGCCTCATTAAAGTCAACTTAGTGGACCACCAAGTTACACAGAGGGGGCCTGGGTTTAGCTTTCTGGGGTCACCCACAATTCCTGCGTGGCATAGACATGATGCAGAAGTTCCCACCTGCTCCCAAGGACTAGGGGCCTCCGAAGGAAGTGGAATTGTGGGCCTTAGACCTTCCATAGGGCCTTAGTTTGAGTCCCCTCAAAAGCAGAACCTGAGACAAGGACTTGGGAGTTTACTTAGGAGCTGGTCCCAGAAAGCAGGAGAGTGAGACAGGGAAGGAGAAAAGCCAATAAAGGGTGTGGCACCAGCACCCCATTCCTCTGGGGACCCTCTGAGGAACTGTGTAAAATGTGCCTCAGAATTGTCCTCTCTGAAGCTGGGGGCACTGGGGCAGTTATCTGCTAACTCTCATTTCCCACTGTTTAAGAATTACTTCCAAAGAGCTCACCTCTTCTTACTTCCTGGCTGTGTGGACATCTTTGGCCTCAAGGGAACCTCTGAGGCAGACAAGCAGGAGCCACTGCCATTGGCACTTCAGGTGGCATGAGTCATTGTGCATGGAGCTGCCCACCACAGCTATGCTTGGGGGAGAAGTGGGCTGAGGCGGTGCAAGCCAGAACACACAAGTCATCTGCTCTAAGAGCCAGCATGGAGAGGGGCAGGTTGACCCCGGAGGTTAGCTCAGGGGCTGGTGGGAGGACATGATAGAGACTCAGAGGGAGCGTTGGTCAGGGCCGAGTCAAGGCCGAGGGGGTCAGGGAGCACTGCAGAGCTCTGAAGGAGCATGGAGCACACAGACCATGAGGTACACAAGCTGCAGGCCTCAGCAGCAGACGCCAGGCAAACGCCCAGGAATGGGGCCATCACCCCTCAGCATTTTGCTTTCCAGGGATGGTCCAGAGCAGGCCCTCTGCAGGGGAGCCCAGGGGGGACCCGGAGACACTATCCTCACATGCCACCACCAGAAAAGGTAAGGCAGAACCACCTCCAAAGATCCATCTTGGAGATAGCTGGGAAGGAAGGAAGAACTCTGAGCGAGTTTTCATCTAAGAAGACCAGCAGGACTGTAAATTATTGCATCAGACTCCTTTTTTTTTTCTCTGCTATCCACGAAGTGAGAATGTACAAAGGAAGATCTAATGAGTTATAGAGAAATAAGGAAGCCTCAGTGACCTGAGTACATCTGAACTTGTCTGGCACGCTAGCATGGTGGGCTGGCTGGAAATGTATTTGTTTGAGAGGTGAAAAAAGGCCCTCCTGGGAGATAATGTTCATTCTAAGGAGAGAAGAAACCAAATTTGGTCCGGTATCAAAGCTTTAGTTGACAGAAGAGAGGTGAGATTGTCACTCAACTCTGCCCCTAGCCTGGCCCCCAGGACACATGGAGGGGTGATCCCGGGAAGATGGAAGAGGCTCTAAGTTGCAACTCAAAGGACTGTTTCAGAAACCTCAGGAATACTCTGGGGCCCAAGCAGTCATGCTTTGGGGACTTCCCGCTAAGTAACACTTAAGGGACAGACAGTCCAACACTCAGCTTCTCTGTTTCAAGGGTTTGGTATGTTGACATTACTCAGAAAGTAGTAAATGAATTGCCAAAATGGTCACACTTATTCCCCTCCCTGCATACACTTTGCAGCTCCTCCCACAAAGAGGTGGAGTCTACTTCCCACCTTGAATCTGGGTTGACATCTTGCTTTGGGCAATAGAATGTGGCAGAAGTCATACTGTGCCTTTTCAGAGTCTGGGCCTTGAGAAGCCTTGTATTCTTCTACTCTTTCTATGGGAACATGGCTCTGTCATGTGAATAAGCTAGGGTGCTGAGCTAGCTTGCTGGAGGAGGACAGACCACATGGCCCAGAGCCAAGGCCCCAGGCATGTGGGACACCCAACCAAGATCAGTCAAGCTCCCTACCCAACCCAGAGCTGACCATTGATGCAAAAAGGAGCCCAGCTAAGTCTACCCA